CTAATCTACTAACAGCACATTTTTGCTGAGATTGGACAAGAAAAGTCCTATTAGGATTCTGACACCACAGGTCAATAACTCTTTATTTCTCCTATAATTTTATTTTTTCATTTTGCCATGCTTTTCAGTTTTCAAGTTCATACTGGGCAACTGAAACGACCCCCCATCACTACAATGGGATTGTTTTCCCTATTCTTTCTCATGTCATAATGAGACCTGTTGTTGTCTTCCTCCTACATGAGACACCTGTGCCCTTCTGCCACATTGATTTTATTGTGAGGATGTACATACACTTAGTACAGAGATGCTTTAGATAAAAACATAAGTTTGAAGGTAGCAGTGTAATGCAGCAGATTTTACAAGTTTTTCATCTAACTCTTTAATAAGTTTGACTTTCTTTTCAAACTCTTCAGATAGGTAAAAAGGAAGAGTTGTTTGGAAAGGATCTGCACACTGCTCACACAGCCCCCAGGGAGCCCAGCAGAGAAACAGGGTAAGCGGAGGACAGGGGACATGATTAACTTGCCTCCTGTCCCGAAGTCTCTCCCTGCAGTTTATGCACTATATTGCAGAGAGGGGGTGGCTGCGACCTCAGTTTTTGTTTTATGTGTTCGTACCAGTGCGTGAGCCCACACTTAAGCTACTTATGTACATATACATCTCTTGCACACATATCTTTAAAAGTAATAAAGCACGTGATTGAACAAAAACATAATTGTGCTTAATGTTTTGCCTTAAAGGTAAAAATAGCAAGCAAAGCTTTCAATTAGAAAAAAACATTCGACTTTATTCAACAACAGAAAGGAGAAAAAAAAAAATCAAGATCAGAGAGTGAAATTGTACTCAAAAAGACCTTTTTTTGTCCTTGACTTCTTTTGCTGTGTCTGTAGATGTTGCAAGTTCACTTACAGTTTCACATATAGTTTTGCTTCTGCTCTAATTAAATGCTGTATAGTATCCAGTCTTCTTGGTCAAATGTGCATAAGGTGCTATATTCACTTTCTGAGAATTACAGCTCTGATAACACATGCACAAAAAAAAAAAAAAAACACTCTTTTCCCTATAAGACAGTATATGAAGTGAGCAACAAGATATTATCATTATAAATAAAACTGCAATACCCCTTTCTCTAATAAGTTCATTCATCAGTCTGAGGAAACATTTGGCTTCTTAGGGAAACAATGGTTTTCAAGAGAGATGATTAAATAATAGAACCTTTGTCCATCAGGTCATTGGAAAAACCATCAGAATTTGCAATCTGCATGGAGCAAGGAAACGTTCTAGGGGTTGTAGTGTTTTTTGTATTGCCTGCATTGGTATGACACACTCCTATCCTACTTGGAAGTCACTATTCCCTTTCAGCAAGGGGGTAATGATCATTTAATGACTTTATCTCCTCAGATACATTTTTCATCTTTTCTTTTCCTATACTGCTATGCACTAGTGAAGATACCAGACCTGACAAGTCCTATTTTGAAAGGGTGGGAGAGTACCAAAAAAAAAAAAAAAAAAAAAAAAAAAAAAAAAAAAAAAAAAGAGTCAGTTGAAGCTTCTGAAGAACAGAGTAAATAGTAAATCAGCTACTGTTAGCTGAAGAAATGATAAGAAAAATAAAGAGTGTTTTCAAAACAAACAAACAAAAAGTTTCCTGCCCTTATATCTTGTTCTCCTTTTCAGGACACACCCCTAATCATTGCCAGGGTTTGAGAGTTGAAAAGATCCATTAAAAACCATAGCAATACCTTTCTTTCCTATTCATAAGGAATAGGTTATCCTCACTTCTCTTCTCTCATATTACAACAGGGTCTTGAACTTAAAAGCCTTTAGCTACTGTCATAGTACAAGTAAGCAACACATAAGTTACTCAAACAGAGAACATATCAATGCATTTCAGATGAAGACCTGAGTCAGAATGCACAACTCCTTTCATTTTACACATTAAATATGCTAAAGCGGATTGGTAAAGTCAGATAGGTAGCAAGTCAGAGGAATTACCAAACCTACAAAATCCAAAGGACAAAGTTAAAGCTGACCTCTATTTTTGTTCACTTCCGCCAAAGGGATAAAATGTATATTTTAGATATTTTATTTTTGTTTTAGTATTACAGCTGATAGGGGTTGTGTGTGTGCTATTCTCCCTCTAGATATATTTATAAAGGGAAAAACTAAGTTATGTTTGGCTTATATAAATACATCAAGTTAAAAAGGGAAAAGAGAGAATAAAATTAGCTTAGCATAACTGTGTGAAAATTAGACACTAAAGTTATCCTCCCACAGTCATATTTAGTACTCTAAACAGATTTAGCTGATTTTTCAGTATATTAATTTCTAGTGAAAATAATAAAAAAAAACACTGAAACTTTGTGTGAATATTCAAACCCCTAAATATAACAACACTTTTTTTTTTTTTTTTGGTAAATCAGATCATCTTTATAACATGCTCTTTGCTTGCTCAAACTGCCATTTTGGGCAACAGCTTGTGCTATAACTCCTCGTATTCCCTAAAATTATTCATTTAAAGAAATATAGATGACATTATGCGATTGATATTCCCAGCACAAAAGAAACAGAAGTTCCAAACCTGAAAATGACTGCTTATAGCCACACACAGAATCAAATAAGGATTGCCAGGATCAGTGGACATTTCCCCCCTAATAGCAGATACCATTTGTTCACATGAAGTTCAACCACAGAAAGAAGCAATAATAACCAGATACGTGATTTTTCACAGCATTTTTTCAGTTTTGTTTTTACTACTATTCCAGGCATCAAACCAATCAGAAAGACTATTAATATTGAGTCAAATACCTATCTTGCCTTGTGTTACAAATGTTTCTGAAAAACCTGTCAGGGGCTAGCTTTCAGCAAACTGCAGCTATCCTACTACTTCACATCATTTCTATCAGAAAGAGGAACTTTTTTTCTTTCTCAAAATACCTTATCATGGATAAATCAGTGGAAACCACTGATATACTATTTCATCAGTCAGAGAACTTACCCTTTCTGATAGCATTTTTCTTACACCTTTTTTGCTATGTCTTCTCACAAGCTTCTCTGCCTCACATAGAGCAGCCAGTAGTCAGCAATAAGGGCCTATAACAACTGGCTGGGCTAGTCTTTAAGGCAGACCAGGTGTTTTAAATCATCCTCTTTCTCCTAAGGGGTCATCTACAAGGGTTACAGCTAATGCCTTTCCTTTCTGGACATGGTATGGTAGAAGCTTGGCCCAGCCCAGCCAAGCTTGTCAATAACTGAGGAAACTCGGGCTGAGCAAAAGAAATCCATTTTGTTCTTAGGTTCAAATAGATACACCTTAATAAAGGCTATTTCCTTAATGGAAATGCCTTAATGCCTTGTGGTTTTAGGTTCAAAGGGATGGGTGAGTGCAACAAACAACTCCTGAAATCATTTAGTGTGTTAGAAACCCATGTCTGATCCTTTTACTCAGTGAGAATACACTGAGTATTTTCAGTTTTCTGGTGAAACCAGCCTTCCACTGTGGTTAGAGCATAGTAAATCTGTCAGCCACCAGACAGATCGATTTCCTGTTGCTTTTGTTTACAACAGTTTGGTTTACAAAGATTTCATTTTTATGTCAGCTAGACAAACAGAGGGTACCTTGTGAAGTGGTTTAGATGAGCGGGCTAGAGATATCTAGCAGGTAAACTGTACCTGCTAGACTGTACTTGTCAAAGTTAGACATTTTTATTTCAAGCATCTAACTAGAATTTGTTTTCCAGTTTTACTCTCTAATTGTAACTGTGTGTAAACTGAATACATATGGCTTATACAATGTGCTTAGCAACAGTGCTGCAATTATCTCTGTCAAACTTTTGGCAAGTTTAGGCAAGGATGTGATTTTTATCTAAAAATTATCTGTGGGAAAAGCAAGTACAACCTACAGAGTATTTGTAGCACATTGACATAGATTTGAGTTCCAGTTTTCAGTAAACCAAAAGGTATTTCAAGGATTTCATAAGTGTAGCTTATTTTGCATTGTAAATAGTCTATGCTATCCTCTGCTGTCATTAGGAAAGTCAGCTGCTCATTTCGGTAGAAAATGTGTTTAAATAGGAGTAGTCCTATTCTGAATGCAAAAATCTAGGCCATGTATTTCATGCTGTTGATAAACATGGGTAGCACCTGAAAGCTAATAAGGTGCTAATTAAGAACTGCCATTTTAAGTCTGTCGTGCTTTTTCCATGTGAACTCACCATATGCTCTATATCTGATTTCCTACTGTGGAAAAATTAAGATGGCTCAAACTGATGATATGCAATAAACCATTGGCTTTCAGAATTCTCTCCTCTTAAAATGCCTTTCCTCCTGTAACTGTAGGCGTAGGCATTTGATAAGATTACCATACGTTTCTGTGTCTTTTTTGGTTATGTTATAGCTGCTCAAGAGACCTGCTTTGGAAAATTATGGTGCAGCGCTGAAGAACCATCAATGATTAATACCATCATCTGGGAATCAGTCGGCTTGCTGGAGTACAAGTGTTTATGTTCTTCCTAAGAATCCCTAGTCGTGACAGATCAAACCAGACAGCGTTGTTAGGCTGGTCCTAGGCTAAATCTGCAGCAAAATAGCAGACTTCACCCTCCTCTTGGCACTGTCCCCTGACTGGTCAACGCTGCTTGTCACAGTCGCTGACTACACTGGTGTATCAAAGATAAATTTTATTGCTAATCTTACAAAGGAGACGCATAAAGGTGTAAAATATTCTGTCAAAACACCAATAAAAAAATCAAGTCCTTCTCCGATGTCCCCTTTTTTTAGTATCCTCCTGAAGCAATGGATAACAAAAACATGCTTTATTTGATGCACTATTATGGATTGAAATCTTAGAGTGTTCTTAGAGTCCTTAAGGGCTATTGATCAAAGCTGGACTGCTTTGTGAATGAAAAATAGTTTTATATAGACGCTACATGTATGCAAACCGAACTAAGTTTCATCTCGGCAAGAAAGGATGAAATTTTATTCGGTGATTGATCCTCAGAACAAGTGAAACTTCCACATTTATCAATGGCTTTTGATATACATATGAGTATTTTTACTCTTAGCTTTTAATTTTTCTACAAATAAAAACCCACCTACATGACTCAGTATTTACTCTTTGACAATCATATCTTGTATCACTCACGACTGATATTCCAGGAGTTACAATGCAAGAATAGCACTTGTGCCTTATTTCCAAAAGGTGCCCATGCCTCTGTATTCCTGACACATTTGAAGGTATCTATTTATTAATATTAGTGATTTGCAGCAAAATAAATCACATATTCAAACAATTCTGTGGTTTGTTGAAATACATTTAAACCATGTTAAAATTGTATTTCCAGACCACTTTCTTATCATGTCCAGACACCAAAGACAGAAGAAATACCTTGTATTATAGATAAAGAAGTGGTATGAAACCCCTTCCGTGTGGCTTACAGTTCTGGCTTTTTAGTCCTACATTTAATCATGCCATATAGGAGCCAACAGCAATCTTTTTTGTGTTGAAATGCTCAGACAATTTTCAAAGTATATATTCTTCAGCACACAGGTAGTGTATGCAGAGAGGAAAACAAGAAGACAGCTTTAATTTTTAAACAAAACAAAAAAGATAAAGTTCAGTTTTGTCAGTCAATATGGTGATAGTCAATATCAGAATATTTCAGCTTAGTGTTATAATACTAAGCCATTATACCATACTAACGCCTGAAGTTGCTGAAAACTGAATTCATTTCAGGTGTCTGCAAGGCAATAAAATGTATGTTCTGAATAACATCAGCAGGAGTGCATATTGTACAGGTGACTGAGAACTGAACTTATCTGGATTTGTTGATTTGAAATTTCAGTGCTCAGTATACATTAGGATTTTCCATTTCTTATATATGCGGATGTGGCCTACTGGCAACATTGCATTGCGTCACAAAAAATTCAGTCTCGGTCCTACACCTCTTGTTCATGTGAATTGTCCTTAGGCATAGTTGCACATGGATGCATTAAGAGAAAAAGATTTACAGGGGTAAGGAATACAAGGTCAGACCCATGAGGAACACTTAAAATCTTCTAAGACAATCTGAAATTCAGCCTAAAATTGCCAACAGCTTTGCGTTTGTTATTCAGACTACATTTTTATCTGCCACACTTGGAAAGAACAAAATACTTCTGCATGAAGGAGAAAGTTTACACCTTACTGGAAGTCGTAGGTATCTGTCATCTGCACAGTGATAATTTGAAAGGGGTAGCATTAGCCATGGTCTCCACTTCAGCAGAGGTGAAGCAGATCAGCACCATAGGGCTGACAAAACACAAAACTGGCTTAACTGCTTATGCAACAGCGTCATCCTTAACTGATCACTTTTCTAGCTTAGGGTGGGAGTGTCAGTTTGCTGTCAAGCCCATAGGAGGAAGAGCATGTAATTGCATTGCCTCCAAAGCAACCTGCCAGAGAGATAGTGACTTAAAAAGTCATAATGTCCCCCCAGTCTCTCCTTTGCACTGGACAGAAATAGAGAGACACATATCTGCACCTGGGGTGGTATCTGAGCTGAGAAACATCAATGTCATTATGCCATCAGGTACGCTGGTGAATTATGCTTCTGCTCATTCTTCATCTTCATCCATCTCTCACCACTTGTCTGCACAAAACGAATTCCTAGTCGCTCCCCGGAGCTCACTCCTCCCTGTGTAGAGGAAGTGATAATAACTCCCGAGCTTCAAAAAGGAACAGCGTGGCCTACTCCTCCTTGCACTTTTAACCTGCCATGCAGAAAAGGTCTTTATTTTGCCCTTAGCAAGGTGCAGCCATTCACTAATGAAGAACAATGTGCATTTTTCTATTACCCTGTCCTAAAAAGTTGCTTATGAGTTCTTCTACATAGTGAACAGAAAAGTAAGTCACGCTAGAAAAAAAATCTTGAGAAATTCAGGCTCAAAAGAGAGGCTCTCATAAATAAGGACCTAGAAGAGATAATAGGTTAAAGTGAACATGATTGTACATTCTAAATTAAAATCTTTCTTACCATTTGTTACAACCCAGTGAAAGTTGTGAAAGTTCATGTTTAAGTTCTTTCTGTATAGGCTAATGGGGAAAATGATCGTATGGAACCTGGAGATGAACAGAGGTGTTAAATTCTGAATCAATATTGCAAATTATGATAGCAGAAACAGCTCCTTCTTCTGCCAAAAAATCAGCAAACCGTAAACACAAATAGGTACAAAATAAAATATTTTAGATTCATCTGGCTGGTTTACTTAGTTCTCATCTTGTTAACCAGGGGAAGCACGTAGAAGTTCACCACGGGGTGAAACACCATCACCTTTTAAGTGAAAAATGTGAAATAGGAAGCAGATTACTTACTAATGGAGACCGAAGGAAACGTTCATGCCTGTAGCAACAGTTTTTCAAATAGTGTTTGACAGTTAGAGAGCACAATAAAGACTTATGAAATAAAAGAAAAGCAGAAGAATATCCTTAGTGCTACACTTGACTGTAACTGTAACTTAAATGGGTGCATATGTGTAATTTTCAGGGTAGGCGAAGGATTCTGTATTTATAGTAGTAAAACATACGGCAGTTAGAATCATAGGCCAACGAATAAATATATACAACGTCCTAACAATCACGGCGTTCGTCTGCTTTCTTGGTCTGTTCAGGAAATGAGAGCAGCAGTCCCTCGCAGAGCCACCATTTCGTGTCTACAAACCCCAGAGAAAGGCATGGATACGCTGTTCGGAGAAAGGAGCACAGCATCAAAAACTCAAAAACTCAGGGTTAGCTCCACTGATCTGTTCACCGCTTAATCCCGCTGCCAAAACAGAACCAAAATGGAAAAGAAAACACTGATCTTCCTGGCCCGCCGCACGCCTCCCAGGGCCGCGCCGTCGGCCACGGCCG